GCTTTTATCTAGTACATTTTAAAATTGCTGTTGACCCTCTGTTCTACCTTTTATTAACCTTTATTAATCTAAGTCCTCTGAAAAGCTGCAGGTCATGTTGCAGCCACAGGAGGGCCCACYCACTTTGATATGAGCCCTGAATGATGAAACATTTACAGTCGTGGGAAAAGGAATTCCAGCCTTCTGCTGGCTTACATATCAGGACAAAATGAAAATTGTCTGGTCTTTTCCAGGTTCTGGAAATATTCACATCTAAATTCAAGAGAATTGGACTCCAGGTAAAAACTGTGAGTCCAGTTCCTGGTTCAGCAGCCTGTAAACCTCTTTAGCAGCAGAACTCTCAGTAGTGGGTTTCTGTGAGACTTTTGTTCGTCTCTTACATGGTTGTGTAATGATTTTGGCCCTCTCTTCTTTCCAACATAGCTTTAGTTCATCTCTCTGAAAGTCTCATAACAACATTTCAGTCTAATTAATGTTTGAACTTTGATTCCACTGTTGCAACACCTCAGTTATTTWTTTTTTTCAGTTATTCTGATGTAGATTTGCAGCCGTGTTTGGGATCGATGTCCTGTTGCATCACTGGTCTGAAATCACGTGGCTGCAAAACCAAACCCAAACCATCGACCTTCCACTACCGTGCTGACAGATGTGAGGTGACTGAGCCAATATCATGTGTTTGGTTTTCTCTGTGCATTGTGGGTAAAAGTTCTGTTTTAGTCTGTGTTCCAGAAAACAGGTGATTCCTTCAGAAGAAACTTTACAAACCGAAGTCATCCTGGATGCAGCTTTCAGATTTTCTTGTTGTTGTTTCTCTGAGTCTGATTTTCAGGGTAAATTTGCTGAATCATTCACTCCTGGGAAAATTGGCAGCTGCCATAAATGTTTTCCACCAGTGAATAATCATTCTCTCTGAAGACTCCATATAGTTTGGAAACGACCTTTGACCCCAGTTGTTTCTGTTGTTGCTGATGTCTTTCCACCTTGGTGTTGTGTRAACACACACCTGTATGATCCGGAGCAGCAAAAAGCCCTGCTTTTATAGAGGTGGTCCTACTAACCATCAGTTAATATCCAGCTCCTGAGGTTGAACTTGTGGTTTGTTTTTTCATTTTGGCTTCATTTTTGTTTAATAAAAAATGTCATGGTGGAAATATGTCGAGTGTTTCTGTGTATTTGACATTGAATTTGGATAAWTGTAGAATCTGATAAAGACCAGATCATAAAAACACTTGAGCTGAAAGTAGGCAGACTTTTTTTTCATTGCTGTATATTTATGGCAGCTYTGACTCAGTCATCCTGACTTCCTTCTGATGAAAACCTCAAGCAGTGAAATGGTGGGTTTGGCCACAAAACAGAAAGTTCAGGTGAACCATCCAGGTGTAGGGATGGAGAGTCAATTGAGATATTTTAAAAACTCTTGTTTTGTTGCTGTAGTGTGTTTCTGTGAGCATAAGCTTCATATTCACACTTATCCTGTTAATTGGGTTCCTCAGTTGTRTCTACTGCCCTCTCCATAAAGATGAAGGCATTCCCCAACATGCGTGCAATCAAGCAGTTAAAAATTTACAACCTGCTGCTGGAACACTCATGTCACAAATGTTTTTCCATGTGTGAATTTGCAAACCAGATGCTCTTCATATAGCTTCCTCTCTGGGGGTTTTGAGCAGGGCACACACCCTCAAACTGAATCAACAAAGCAACACTCAGATGATCTACAGCCCTCAACAAATCTTATSCTAACACAAATATTCCTGCAGCTCRAAARATTACCAAACAGTTCAGAAGGTTCTATAATTTACTGCGTGTACCTTGGAGCAAAGGAACTGTATTTCATGAGAAATTAGAGAAGAAGGAAGACAGCTTTGTTTGCGTTTGCTTTTTATTGTGGTCATTTGCACCTACCTCTAGTGAGACTGAAAGTGCACTGCTGCAACCTCAAAACGGAAGTCGATGAGTAGGCGAGGTTTTGCCTCTGCAACACTGCTTCAGAAGAATCCAGGAGATGTTATTATTGAACTGTTTCTGTAAGATGATAAAACATCGTGACAAAGAATCCAGAAAACGGATCTGATGCTTCAGGTGATTCTTGTGTTTTTTGACCTTGTTGGACTTCCTGTTTTCATGGACTCTAAAGAAGGACTCAAAATCATCTGGAGTTTTGATTGTTTATTCAACCCGACTTTTGGAAACTGATCTTTGGAAACACCTTTTTTGTATAAACCTAGAGGAGGAGAAACTGTGGGATTATTTGACACAACAAAAGAAGTTCTGGATTCCACTGATTTGAAACTGGGACCATGCCTGTGATTGTACTGGAGGCCCGAGACTTCAGCAGTCCGCTGTTTATTGTGCGAACATTGGAAGTTCTGTCCTGCTGCACCGTCTTCAGCCTCGTGGCCTCCATGTCTGAAGACCTGAACCCTTCCAACTTCAGCACATTCAGGGTCTTCTGCATGTTCACCTGGTGTTTCTTCTTCGTGGTCACACTATTTATTCACCTTCTCAACACTATCCAGTTCCACAACTTGATCCGAATATCCTGGAAGAACCTGACGATGACGGTGGCGGTGATGGGCGCACTGATGAGCTTCAGTTCCTCCGCYGTTTTCCCGTGGATGGTCATGGATCATCAGAAAGTGTCAGCCCGTGCTGTAGCAGCTGCAGTGATCTCAGGCCTCACCACCCTGGCCTACGCCTCAGAGTTCTTCGTGCTSCGTTGCCAAGCGGACGAACAAAAAGGCTACATGGGGAGCACACCTGGCCTCTTGAAGATTCTCCAGCTGTGGGGAGGTGTTCAGATGATCCCTCTGGTTGTGTTTATCCTCCGGCTGTCCAGCGGATTACATCATTGGCAGCTCTGGTTGTCGTGTACCTCATACGGCGTTTGTGTCCTGATGTCTCTTGTCACYCTGGTTGTAATACTCGGTGACTTCGCGGGGCGATGCCTCCTGCCTTTTGACAAGTTTTTAGCGTGCTTCAGCCTAATCGGGGTGCTGCTGTACATGACTGCTACAGTGATTTGTTTAACTAAGATTCTGCAGCTAAACGGACAAAAGAACAGCCAAACTGATTTAGTGATCATGGAAACTGTGGTTTCCAGTGTTACGCTGTTAGCGTACACAGTGGACCTTGCCTTCGCCATCAAACTGTTGTGTGACAGAAGTCACATGTGAAGCTGCAGGAAATATCCTGTGAGAGATGGAGGCTGTTTGGAAGTATTCAGTCAAACTAAATGATTGAGTTTGCTTTTTATTGTTGCTGTAACATCAAACTGACCACAGAACTAACTTGTAATGTTCCACTAAGTGCTGTAAAGGATTTTACTACCCTGAAACTCATATGGACTACATCCCATAATAGTTCAGTTTGGCACACATACTGTACATCCTGTAAATGCTGGTTAAATGAGCACTGGTTGCTGTTCTGACATCACCCACAAATGATGAATGTATTTTAAAARATAAAGAGAAGTCAGACTTTGCAAAGTTATTGGTAAAATTCAAAAAGTTTTTTTTCTTTTAACTAAAATGTAAAAACATTTATGTTTTTCTTTTCATGTASTTTCCTTTTGCCAACACGAGATGGCGGCACCACATCAACATGTATTCATAGGGCTGGACACATTTGTTTGTAGCCTTTAACATATAAACATCACTGACATAATTTAAAACCAACTAATGTAATAAAAAAACAGTCATAGCTTTTTCAGTTTTGATTCAAATAAGACTACCTAAATAACAATAATTAAAGAAAAGAAACTGGATGATACATTTAACTTTTATTGCACAATCTTTTGTGGCAACTCTGCAATCAAATGATTTCTGTAACTGAGACTTCTGCACCTGTCCAGGTGTTCTGGTCCTCCTGTCCTCGGGTGTTCTGGTCCTTCTGACCTCAAGTGTTCTGTCCTCCTGTCCTTGGGTGTTCTGGTCCTTCTGACCTCAAGTGTTCTGGTCCTCCTGTCTTTCAAGTGTTCTGGTCCTCCTGTCCTCAGGTGCTCTGGTCCTCCAGTCTTCAAGTGTTCTAGTCCTCCTGTCTTCAAGTGTTCTGATCCTCCTGTCTTCAAGTGTTCTGGTCCTCCTGTCTTCAAGTGTTCTGGTCCTCGTGTCCTCAGGTGTTCTGATCCTCCTGTCTTCAAGTGTTCTGATCCTCCTGTCTTCAAGTGTTCTGGTCCTCCTGTCTTCAAGTGTTCTGGTCCTCCTGTCCTCAGGTATTCTGGTCCTCCTGTCTTCAAGTGGTCTGGTCCTCCTGTCCTCAGGTGTTCTGGTCCTCCTGTCTTCGAGTGTTCTGGTCCTCATATCCTCAGGTGTTCTGGTCCTCCTGTCTTCGAGTGTTCTGGTCCTCATATCCTCAGGTGTTCTGGTCCTCCTGTCTTTGAGTGTTCTGGTCCTCATGTCCT